ATCCTGGAAGAAAATTTCCCAAACCTAGAGAGGCACTCAAATATACAGACCCAAAAATTATAAAGGATCCCACAGAGAATCAATCATGCGCATGTGCATGGGTGTCCAGGATTCCGAGAGAAGAATGGAAGAGAAGGGATTGCAGAGTGGCCATTTCCCCAGGGGTGATTTCTCAATTTCTGTCTCTCTGTCTCTCTCTTTCTGGTGAGCGCATGCACCCTATAGCAAAAAAGCTCTCCAAAAAAAAAAAAAAAAAGGCACAAAAAACAACCAAGAAAATGGACAGCTTAATTGTCCCTCCATTGACAAGTCTGGAATTAAACGTTAACTTCCAGAGTTTAAATAAAAAGATGAAACCACAGTAACGCTGCAAATTCAATAGAAGAGAAATGAACTACACGGGACTGAACTGGTGAAATAGAATTGTATGACTTTTGACTAAAACATCATTGATTTCCTTCTGTGCTTTGATTTCCAGATTTAAGAATTTTTGTCTCTTCTTGAACTGTTGATAGTTTCATCTACCTACTGCTTGAATTCAATCTTAATCTTTTTCTTGGCTTTAAGTCTTAAGCAAATTTCTCTTTTGATCTATTAGAACTAGAACTGTTTATCTTGAAATTTAAAAATGCATTTAAAAAAGATCTTTTTACTGACTACAATAAGCTATATAGCCCAAGCTAGGGGCTACTTTAGAGAGTATGTTCAATTTACTCACCGAGGTTGACACCTAAAGTCAGACATGTGTTCACAGATATTTATGTATTAGCTGTGCTTGCTATTGAAAGCTTTTAGATAATTAAGATCTTTAATGAATCAATAACATGTGGAGGAAAAAAAAAGAAGGCATTGAAAACAACTGTATATACTAGAGACAGTGTAGGAGGAGAGTGGGAAATGGCAGAGAATGAGAAGAAGGAAATCAAGGGGGGGGCAAAATATATAAAAAACAAGAAATGGAAAATTATTTGTTGACAATAGCTTGTATGGTGATACCGTTCATTGAGTCAATATACAGTATATTCTAAATGGAAAATCTCATTTTGTATACTGTATTGATCTACAGTAAGTGAATATAAATAAATTAATTAAATTGTTTTGAAAAGGTGCATCTTTCTTACCCCACTTGGTTTAGTTTAGTGTTTTGTTTTTGTTTTAAATTTGGCTATAGGGAATGCGCACTCTGGAGTAGGCAGGGTAAATAACCATGCCACAACCCCTTCTCCTTCCATTCTCCTCTCTGACACATCTGATGTGCCACATCAAGCTGCAGAGTCCTGGACTATGCAGTCAGACATGTGTGATCCAGCTGCCTTGACTGCCGTGGCAATGGCTAGCCCACTTCCTTTGTTCTTAAACTTTCTCCAAGCTATATTCAAGGAGAGGAATTCTAGGGTCTGGCATTATGCTGATGCAAAAATAAATAAATAAATTTAATAATTTAAAAAATGTGAAACAATACACACAATTTATACCATTTATATGTAGAACACACAATTATGTAGATGTGTGATGGCCATACTGTTACAAATGAAGGGTTATTTCTCTGAGTACTACTTTGCTGTATGTTATGTGTGTGACCTTCTCACCTCATGCTCATTGTATCCCAAACACTTTTTTTTTTCTTTTCCTGACCACACGAAAAAAAAAAAAAATCAGGAAAATAAGCTTCTGGCTAACAGTAGGGATAAAACAATTATATATTTTCTTTAAGGCAGAGATTTCAGTTTATTTCTCTAATGCAAGGTCTGGATTACACCTGGGAATGGGGAGGAGAGAGAATGGATGAGAATGCCAACTTGCATCTTCTGAACAGAGAGCAAAGAGGGGACTAACCTGATCCTTGAAGGGGTACCATTGGTTTGAGGGGGAAGATGACTTTCTTTAAGGGAATAATGGAGGTGCCTGGAAGTAAACTCAACACTAAATTGACTTCCAGGGAGAACTTCCTACCTTCCCTTCCTTTCCACTCCTCACAACCACTAGAAATGGAGTCTAGACGAATTAGCCTGAAATATACTTTATTATTGGGATACAAAGAGCAATAGTTCAGAGAATCCTCGGGATATGAGAGAATCAGGATGAAAACAAGGAGGAATAAAAAAGGCCTTTGATGGCCCATAGTAGAGCAGTTCGGTGCTGCTCAGGGGAAGTCAGATCCCATATGGCTCTGTCTCCCTGCTCTCCCAGGTCATGCATGCACACCTGTTATTTAAAGGGGGAGGAAAAAAAAACATTCAAATAGAGACGCAGACATTCAAGTCTGGAAAGGACACGAGTGTCCCCTCTGAGTGACAGACCCAGTGCCTTGCACAAGTAACATCATGACTTCTGCTGTCCCCTGGAATCTGAACACTACAACTATTGCTGCTCCTGGAATCTGTTAAATTAAGGATCTTGAGATTGAGAGATTATTATGCATTAGGGGCATAATAGGATGAATATAAGTAGAAAGAATTTCCCCAGTACCTGCTTTTTAAATCTCTCTATTCACATTAAAAGCTGGAGTAGTTTCTAATTAATGAGACCTTGGTAAGAAACCCACAAGTTAATACCTCGAGAAACTAATGAAGGAAGTACCTAATCCAAAGGATTTCATAATGTGGGAAAATCCTCATACATGGAAGGAGATTCAGGCACTAGGTGGCCTTGATGTGACTGGCAAAGAACCCTCAAATATCCTATACTCTGCAGCGAGCCTTGTGGAAAACACTATATACTGAGGGCTAAGTTCCCCTAACCATGCCCCAAACATATACGTATGCACAACTCAACCTTGGACAGTACCAGACATTTTTAATGCCCTGAACAGACAATGAAGGTTTAGACTCCTTCTATGGGATTGGTTGTTATTTTACAACTGCCAATATCACTTCATAGTTTATAATTACAACTGAAAATTGTCAAAGCTCATATTCCTGGAAAAAGAGTCATTGTTCTGAAGCTATGGGAATAAACAGACACCAGAACTGGTTTTTAAACAATCTTAATCCATCAATGATCACTGAACGAGTTTCCTTTGCTGTAACAGCTTACCACAAATTTAGTGCCTTAACACAGGGTACTGTTTCACAGTTCTGAACGTAAGAAGTCCAAAATGAGTCTCACCACACTAAAAGCTATATGATGTTGGCAGGTTCCTGGAGCCTTAATGGGACACTATGTTTCTTTCCCTTGTCACATTCTAGTGTTGCAGAAAGCAGACTGCCAGGACATAGACCATCAAGAAACCAGATGCCATTCAGAAAGGAGAACTCAGATTTATAATACCAGTGGTTCCAACATCTGGGCCCAGTGTGGAGAAGTTACAGAGTTATACAGTCTAGGTCAGAGATGTTGCAGGCCGGAAGAGTCCCAAAGCAGGTGCAGAACAGTTGCAATTTAGCTTGCAACATTTCCCAGCAGGCAATTTACAAAGGTGGATTAGAAATACTCCCTGTTTGCAATCAGTTAGCAAACAGGCTGCCCCTCGTTCCCTCTGAGGGGTTCTGGTTCTGGTTCTGCATTCCTTTTCCCCAAAGACGAACGGGTCCGCCCTCCTCCACGCCTTACCTCAAACAGAGGGTCGATCTTCTTCTCCAGGTACGCCTGGATCCGGGTTTGCTGCCAAGACGCCATGGAGAGGCAGACCCAGCGGCGGAGGGAGTGCGCCTCTGCGAGGGACAGCCCTCCTTTGCCCGGGACCAGGGCCGGGCCAGAAGCTCGCAAGCCTCGGCCGCGGCGCTGCAGGACCCGCCTTGAACGCCTGGGTAGCAGCCCAGGGAGCAGCGCGCGCTAGGAGCACGAGAGCCAGGAGCCCTGCCCCGGCGCCTCCAACTCAGACAACGGGCCAGGGGAGGGCTTATTCAGCGCGTCTCCTCCTCATTTGGGGGGGAAACGTACAAATTCCGCGGGATGAGCTTTGACCAAAAGGCGTCTGTGGTCCGGTAGGCCGGGTAACCAGACATGGCGGAGGAATACAGCCGAGTTCCGCTCAAACTGCGGCCCTGGCTCAAGGCTATGACCAGACGAATGTTGCGCAGGATGAGAATGTCGCCCAAGGTTGGCTCACAGGAAGCAGACTGAACCGCGAAGACAGCTTGACCAGGGTGGGGAGGCAGAGTGGCTACATGTGGATCAGTCCGTGTGTTGATTTTAGCGTCGTCGCGGCTACTGGTTTCCAAGTCTAAGGGTGCTGTGATAAGTAGAGTAATGCCCCCATACGATACACCGACCCTGGTATCTAGAGGCTTAGAATATGTTGCACTATCTAGAAAAAGAGACCCGGCAGGTGTGAATATGTTAAGGACCCTGAGATGGGGAGACTATTCTAGATTAAATGGAAGGGCCTCCAAGTAATGACACAGGTCGTTAAAAATGGACGAGGAGCCAGAAAAGGAGGCCATACTGATGGAAGTGAGAAGGATTCTACCTGTGATGGTTTTGAAGAGGAGAAAAGGTTACAAACGAGGGTCACAAACCAAGGAATGTGGATGACCTCTAAACCCTGGGAGAGAAAAGAAAGGATGACCCCCTCGAGCCACCGGAAGGTAAGGCAGCCCTGCCGAACCTCGATTTTAGTCCAGTTGAGACCCTCGCTGAATCCTAAGCTAGAGAACTGTCAGATAATGGATTTGTGTTCTTGTAAGCCACTGATTTTATGGTAATATGACAGTAGCATAAAATCAGTACACACCTCGCTCATTCACTTTGGCAGTTAGATCTGAAGGACATGATAAACCCTGTGTAAATTCTGTAGGTCTTTGACAGACCAGGAGATATGTTTAATGTTTTAAGTTTTTCACTAAGCACCTGTCCTCTTTCATCCCTTCCATCCTTCTCTAATAGGAAAATAAAAGTTCATATTTGAATTATGGCAAGTTGGAAGGCATTACCCATCACACAGACTGATATTTTGAGTCTGCTCCTGTCGTAGGAAAAGAATATAAGCTGCAAAAAATTAAACTTGAAGAATCCACCTCTCAAAGGTACATTTTTTTTCAACCATTTTTATTTAGGCACAGAGATACTTTTTACCATTCACAAAGGGTGAAATACAAGATTGGCTTTCAAGACTTTTCCCCAAAAGTAACTTGTGATCTCTGACTTAAATGATGTAATATGTTGTTGCTGTCATAAATATTACCAATTTATAAAGTGAACTTATTAGGGTCAATATTTGAGTTGTCCAGTGATTACTGATCATCTTACCGAGAGGCCTCCCAGCCCTGGCAGCATAGGGATAAAGGAAGGAGAATAGCTGGAAACTAGACAAAAACCAACAACCCACAGGATAAGGGGGTCTTCAAATTTGGCTACTCTGTCTTTAAATAATACTTCAAAGTTTTGCTGACTTGTCATGCATTCAGTTGACTCTGCCAGTGAGTTCCTCTGTATTAGACAGCCAAAGGCACTCGTGGAGAGGCTTACATGGCTGACGTGAAAGCACATCTTAGGTGTTCATCCTCATTACTGATGTGGGGTGGGGCTCCCCCCAGCAGGAGTCTGCTGATGGATCCGATCCCTGTGAGAGTGTTGGTGAAGTTGGTAATGGTAGTTGTGGTTAAGTTTTCTGTTCTTGCTGTTCTTGTTTTGCTTTTAACTGCTTTTTAGGAAATAATTGTTTCGTTTTAATTCTGGAAGTCAAAAAGACATAACAAAGGGCTTTTGCCAAGGAATATTTTAATTCCAATTTTAAGTGAAATAACTGATACAAGATGTATACTTCTCAGTTAAAGACCCTTGAACAAATGTATACGTAATTTTGATCTGATGTTATAGACAAGTGCTTTTCAAATTGTGACCTGCAGCCCACCTCCATCCAGATCATCCAGGCTGCTTATGTAAAAGTGCAGATTCTGGGTCCACAGGAGCTAAATCTCCCGGGACCAGAGCCCTGTGTCATCTCCATAGCTGATACAAAAGCACGTCAACTCGAAGAACCACTCCCTAATATTTTTAGACTGGGGTTTTTTACAAAACAAAGATGGAAAGCCTTAATCTTTTAAACTTAGACTTTAAGCATTAGAGTATGAGCTGCTTAATGACATTTTGTCTTTTCTGCTCTTATACTGTTCAGGGACTAGTACAGAAATAGGAAAGAAAGCAGGGGAAAGAAAAACTAATTCTGTATACATATTTTGCTTCAACAGTCACCAAAAAAACTGTTCTATCTCATGTCAATGACCCTGTCCACCAGTTATGCTGGCCTTCAATATATGGCTATAGCAACATATATAAATCAGTATCATACATTTATACACACGTACACACGTCCTATAAGCACTATGAAGACACAGACCAGCCTTTAGCACAGCCAGAGACCCCTCCAATGCCACTTAACAATGAGCACAGGCTTGCTATATGCGTGGCTTTTAACGGGTTTGGTCTGGCCCTCAGTCCCCAGTTCCCCCAAGGGAGTGAGAGTGACAAAATGGGAGAGCATATTTAGAGTGAGGTCAGTACAATTTGGAGATCATAAAAGAAAAGAAATAGGAGGCTAGGCTAAGCCTGAGATGGCATCTGGGAAGACACCACTTCCACCATGTGGACTCAAAGAACTTGGGTGGGGCATGTAAACTGAAGGCCAGCCTGGCTTGACCCAAGGGAGCTGGCCCAGGGTCAGGTGTGAGTCTGTGAGTGGTGCTCACTGAGCTCCCACCAACACTGTCCAGCAGGCACCACAGCTCAGTAGTGTGCTTCTAGAACTGCCCGAGGAGCTCCAGCGTTGGGACACCTGCCCCACTCATAGGAGGCAGGGTCCAGTTTCCCCTGAGTTGACCATCGGAGGATAGCTGCTGAGGCAAATGTGCTGTTTCTCATTCCTGTGCCGCTGGTGCTGTTTAGGAGCAGTGTCACAAGGTCCTCTACGCAAACTACGCGTTTTGCTTCATGCTGGGGCAAGTGGGCCTTGGCTAATGGTGTTCCATAGCTACCAGAAGGGCTTTCTGCCCTGCCCCACAGGATTTATTTCTGACTTCCTCTTCTGAACCCTCCAGGAGGAGCCCCGATCCTCCTCAGCAGATAGGTAGTGGCACACAGGGGGTGCAGGCCGATCCTTCCTGCTGTTTTAAGGACCTCTGATGGCTTTGCTTTTTGCATGGCTCCTGGAAGGCAAGGGTCACAAGGCTGGAGTGCATGACAGAGCCCTTATGGATTTCACCTGCAGACAAAATAAAAGCAATCACGTCAGAGTGTATTGTCAAGCTCTGCTGGTAACTACCTGAGGTTGGAGTGGTGACAAGAAGCAGGAGCATGGTGACAGCCAGTTAACAAAATGAGCTGAGGGGACGTGCTGCAGTCAAGACACGCAACCAGCAGTCCCATGTTAGAGGAAAAGCCTCCCCACCGCCCCCATGTGGAGATCCCCGCTCCAAGCCACTGCATACTGGTTGGCCCAATCCTGCCACTCCTTCAGGAGCCAGTTCACAGTCCAAGTCGTTCTGTCTGGAGTAAAAACATGGCCTTTGCCACCTCCCAGTAAAAGAAGTGCTTAGCATTAAACATGCATATTAGAAACAGCGTGAGAGGACAGTTTGCCGGGAAGACCCATTGCATTTGTGTCCCTGGTATCATATTGAGGAGAGGAAAGACCAAGTCAGCAAAGACCTCAGAGATCACCTAAGCCTAGGCCCACCTTTTACAGGTAAGAGGCAGTAATCTCACAGAACCTAAGAGACCAGCCAAAGCCACACCGCCAGTTAGTGACAAATGTAGGATTAGAACACTGCCCTCAGGCCATTCTTCAGGTCTATGGAAACAGAGAGGAAAGCTTCCATACTGAAGAATCCAGCAGGTACTTGAGGCTGTTGGGTTACCTTTTCTGAGACAGGAATAAGGCTTTACAGAAGTAATCTTGTAAGTGTTGGTCTAAAGAGGCTCAGGAAAGAAAGGAATCATCAAGAAAAAAAAGGGGGGCAGTTAGCACAAAAAAGAAGAGATTAAAAAAAAACAGTAAGTTAAAACAACCCAACCCACTTTCACACTATGGAGATCAGTATTTGCTCAGGCTACAGTATAGCGATATGCTCATCTGCTTACAGTGAAGCTTTGAAGTCCAAGTTAAAAGGTTTAGTTTCTGATTTTTAAACCATTTCATACACCTCAAGATTCCTTTCAAAGTACTTCATAGGAAATGTTTCAAGTAATTGTAAGTAATGTCTAGCATACATATGAAATCTTTCCTCTTAAGGTACAGTTTTTATTTCTAATCCAATTTTCTTTTAGATCGATAAGATCCAACAGGTCTCTTTCATGATGTTCCTTAAAGAAAAGGATAGATCAAAATGAAATTGTTGTTCGCAACCCAGTAGCGTACAGAGAAATCCACTTATTAGGTTGTACTTGCTTTATTTTTTTTCATAAAGTAGTATAGGAAACACAGAACATGTAACTGCCTCCAGACCCTTTACCAAAGCTAATTAAGAGGCAGGCTCCTGAGAGACTTCTGACCTTGAGAATCAACTGAATTGCATTTCTCTAGATTCCCAACTTGGCATAAAGGAGAGACAGCTGGAGTGAAAAGTAGAGATGATTACAATGTGAGAGCAAATAAACATGTAAACATGTCAGAAGAGAAAGCCAACTGTGTGGGAGGGTGAGGGGGACAGAAACTAGATGGGTGATCATGGAGAACCTACAAGTGGACCAGAAATCTTCTCCTGTAAGGTCAAAGCAGGTGGAGGGTCACCTACAGGCTCTGATGACAGATAGTGATGGGTTTGGGGTGGCTCTGTGCCTCTGACTGGTACAATAGTTTCCTTACCTCCAAATTAGTCCTTGCCTTCTTCAAAACATCATGAGTCCTGGTCACTGGAACAACAAAACAGTCCCACAAAGCAGAAGTTACCAGCTGGGCTCTTACTTGCCTGTATTCTAAAGCATTTCCTTCTAGCTCCTCAGCCTGGGGTTTCTTGCTGCCTCCACCCCATTCTCTACTCCATCTGCACCAACAATTAATCATGGCACAGAAGTTGTGGGGACATCACATCAGTATCTTCCAGCCCAACATCCCCAAGGCTCTGTGGTCACTGTTCATCTACAGCACAGGAAGGAGTGTCTGGGATACCACCCCCTCTGCTCTTCCCCTCTGACTGCGGCACCTACGCTGATTGACGATAAACTGCTCCATGCTCTCCTTCTGCTGGTTGGCAGTCTTCAGACGCTCAGCTGTGCTCTGCAGGAGCCTCTCCTGTTTGGATACTTTGGTTCTCAGGTCCAGAAGTTCCCTTTCCATCAACTCTCCCTGGGGAAGAGGGATAGGCTTTCAGTTAACTGTCACTCCATTCTGTGTGCCTCTTTACAGTCATCAGTAGGATTTCACAATCTTCTCACCTTCCTATGGACTGTATTCCCTCCATTAAAGACTAATCCCTTTAGTTGAGGACAGTTTGAGGTAAGCCATTAGGTAGGAACACTGAAAACCTGGAAGCCCTCGTGCAGACTAACAGGCCTATATTCCTGGTGCTGAAGACAATCTGCCTCCAGGAAAGTATGAAATTCCCACCTGTGAGTAGGAGTTTGAATTTAGTCCTGACGTCAGTTTCGTCACACCGTCATCACAAGCTAAAGGAGCTGAGAAATGCTATGTCCGGGTAGACAGTGCTGGCCCGAAGGTGGTTTACAAGTCTGTAAATACCTGTGCAAAACACCCTCTCCCCTGGAATTAGCATATCCAGGTCCCAAAGAGATCAGTGACATTAGTCTGAAGCTGGACTCCATGGGGAGGGGACCTTGAAACCTGCCTACACAAGAGTCTGCCACTTGGAGTCTGCCTGAAATCTGAGAGAATCTGAGGGTGATTGACCTTCCCCTGGCCTGACCCAGAGATGAAAACTTAAGTGATATATTGGGATTTGAGGGGGTGGCTAAAGGAGGCTCACAGTCCTAGTACAGTGACATTTCACGATCACTTGACTAAGCAAACAAGAAGGCTGGGAGAAGGAGGCGGTAAAGCATTACCATGTCCCTGAACAGTTGTGGAAACTATTTATGCATTATCAAGGTTATGAAGCATCTGCCTTCTCCATATCCTTCCCTTTCATCTCTGATTTTTTATCCTGGAGCAGGGGGTTATGAAGAGAAAGGATTCCATCAGAGCTGCAATGAAAGCAGCCACCATGGATCAGAGGTCTCCTCTCAAAGATGCTCACTCCCCTAATGGCCTGTCTACTCCATGTCACTATGCTATGCAGCTCCTGATCTTTGGAAAAGCTGTGGGACTGAGGAGACAGGGCAATACAGAGGAAAGAAGAGTTGGGTCTGAACCAGTAAAGGATACCGGCCTCTTACCGCTTTGCCAGGCAGTGCAGGGCTGTGGGAGCTTGGCAAGGCTGCTCGCCAGAACATGGTGAGGAGGGAAGCTGACTCCTCCAGGGTGTGGTGCAGGACACTGGTGTTGCTCCGAAGCTCATGGGCACCTGTGCTCCCCAGCACCTGGGGAAAAGGGAAGGTACACATGATAATCACGAGAGCTGAGAGCATACAGAGTACTTTTCTTGGAGCACAGGGCTCAGGCTTCTTTTGGGAGTGAGGCACAGAACATGGACCTGCCTGTCAAACTCTTGCCAAACCATATGTAGCTATCAGGACTCCAGAGCTGTGCCCTGTACCAGCAATGTCCTTCTCCACCTTGACAACCTACTTCCTCCTTGGAGCCCAGCTGCTGAGATGGCTGTGCTCCTCTTGTACCAGGTTCAATTCCTGATGCAACTGAAAGTTCAGGTGCAGGGGTGTGCACCTGTGATCTCAGAGATTCAGGACTCTAAGGAAGGAGGATTGCAAGCTCACAGATGCCCTGGACTTAGCCAGACCCTGTCTAAAATAGAGCCTGGACTGATGGCATACCAGCTAGGAGAGGAGTGAGACACTGTCTTTAAAAATAATCATTTTAAAAGTCCCACCCATCATGGTGTGGGTGGTAGGGCACTCCTGTGCAATATTAAAGTCATATGAGGATGGCCGGGTTCAAATCCTGGGTTGATATGAAACTCCAGGCATACCTGCAGGTATGCCCATGCTCCTGACTGACTAGAAGGCTTGGGGAAGAACTATGTGTGGCAAGACCCTGAAGGGTGTCTGTGTATCTCTCTCTCTCCCAAAATAAAGTTAACAAAAACCCCTCATCCTCCTTGATACACCCTCTCTGAACCCATTATCTTCCTTGCCTGGGGTATGATTGCTTCTATATTAGTGCCCTCACCACACAGAGGACAACTCCTCACACTGTACCTCCAAGTCTTTTATCATGTGCCCGTCTTATCCTCTAGGATGGGAGCTCCTAAAAGGCAGGGCTGTCCTTAGCAGCTCAGACAGCACAGCCTCTGGTGCCTGCTCTCTCGAGAGGAATGTGCTCTGAGAAGCTTTGCAAGCTGCTTCTCTTCCCCTGCTCAAAGGAAACCCCATGGCTGCCAGGCTTCTCACTCCTCCCACATATGTGGCCACATGGATGCAAATCCCTCTATTTCTGTTCATCTGACTGAGTTTATTCTGCCCACAGACAGCCAGGTGCCAGCCTGACTGTAAGACAGAAAGCTACCAAACGGTGCTCAGTACAGCACCACCACATGTCGACACTGAACAAATGTCAGCTGATGATGCAGCACAACTCTTCTGTGGATCAGAGGAGAAATATCCCATAAGCTACATCTGGAACAGAGCAGAACTTGTAGTGCAAACAGGAGACAGAGACGAAATGGTCTGGATGGTATAAATGTAAGAGATATCCTTGGCTGTTGGGACAAATAGAGCATGAAAAAAATAAGTGGGAGAAGAGGAAGAAAGAGCGTGAGGAAAGGGTGGACGTAACTGCTACAGCTGTGCATACCTCTGTGCCTTGAGCTTCAAGCCCAGGGAAGTTGCATGATGATCTCACAAGAGATGCTATCTTTTTGACAAGTATTTTGCCTTCTTCGATCTGCTGTCTTAGGGCACTGAAGTCATCAATGTGGCCAATGACATGGCGGCCATGCTTATTTGCAAAGGAGCCATCAGTAGCATCACCCTCCAGCTTGGGAGGGGTCTTTATTTCTGGAGAAGCATCCAAACCCAGACCTGAAAAATGAAACCACAGCAAGACAGAATCAACTGTCATTCATGACGATATCCTCAGTTCACTGTAATCTAAAAGAAATCGAGAAAGAGGCAGGGGTAAGAAAGACAGCCCTAGAGTATATAGTGGTAGCTTGATGTACACAGAAGGAGTTTGGGTTCTACACTCTTATAAAATTTCTTACCTCATTCCATAATGATCAAATCGGCAGATGAAAAAAAGTTTTTTTCTTATTGATAAATTGGATATTTAGGGCAAATATTAATAAATGCTTTTTTAAAAAATCTGAATAGAGAAGTAGGTGGTGGTACAGTAATAACACAACTAGAACCACTTGCAAAAGATCAGGTTTGTGCTCTGGGTTCCCCTGAGCATACCACCGTGTGCATGCACTTGCCAGTCCTGGCTGGCTAAGACTGGGTATGAAACACAATGTAAAGACCCTATTAAAGATTCCTCTCTTTCTGTCTCTCTCACTGTTTTTCTTTCATGGAAGAAACAACAACAACAACAACAAAAAAAGATTTTTTTTTTTTTAAAAGGGTTTTGCAAAGAATCTGAGTAGAGATGATACTGACAAGGAAATCAAAGGATTTCCTTGTCAAAAGTTCCCAAAAGAGAACTTTCAAGAATGGAATAATTACTGTACAGCAAAGCCAAAAATGGAGGAGTAGGAAACTGTCAGAGGAAGAATAATGACTAGAAGGGCAGCTAGGCCCAGCCACACTGGTACAGGTGGTTGGGTGTTCCTGCACAAAACTGGAGCTATATGAGAAGCCTGTGTTTGATGCCAGGCTTATCTGAACATACAAAGTACACCCATGCACACCCGTAATCCCAGCTAGTTACAAAATTAGGGGAAGGACTGCAGCATGCAGACACCCTGCTGAGGATACTTCTCTTTCTCTCCCTCAAAATAAATGAAGTAAACTTTCAATAACAAAACAAACCAAACCAAAAACCTCAAAATATTGATCACCCACATTTTTTTTTAATAAAGAAGGACAGCCAAAGAAGATGCAATGAATAGGCAAAGGGCCTGGGAACATGCAGAAAGAACACTCTAAATTCAGATAATGTATTTAGACAATGAAGGATTATTTGTATTAATCATTTCCAAGGTTTAGTGCTGTATTTACCTTGTGCCCTATTGAAGATGGTTGTTTCTGAGCCAGGAGCAGAGGAAGGAGGACTGGAGAAGACCAGAGCTGGGGAATTCATGTCAACATCCCGGACTGGAGGAGAAGCAACTGAATCTAGGGAGCAAAAACACCTGAATGTCAGGAATTCTGAAACACACTACACACCAAGCAAATGTACAACCTAGTCTTCACTAATAAAGATGTAAGGCACCATGATTCACATCATATATAACCATCAGCCACAAGATATAATTGATGAATAAACAAACTAGTTCAGTATGTTTCCATGCTTCAGAACAAAATAATGTTGGTATAAATGGATGGTGATCCTTGAGAACACAAGTTTCAGTATAAAAAAATTATTAGGAGGACCAGCACATGGTATAATGGTTATGTTGCTGGACTCCCACATGGTCAACTGTGGTTCAAGTCCCAGATCCGGTGGCTTCACACTCATGCCAGTCGTGTGTGTGTGTGTGTGCATGCCCCAAATCCCAAGAGGAGAATGGACGAGAGGGAACTGCAGCATCACCACCACCCCCGGGGGGCTGATTTCTCACTTTCTGTCTCTCTACCTCTCTCTGTCTTTCTGGTGAGTGCATGCACCCTATAGCAAAAATTTCTCTGAAAAAATTAGGTATGTTTTTATAAACCAAATTTTGAGTATAATCTGTGTGTATGTATATTACAATGCTTTATAACTAAATACAAATGTGTATAATATATATTTAAAAAGGGAATCTAAGAATGAATAGACTTATGAACACTGAAACTAAAATTTCAGTCACCATTCTGATGAATTAAGACTAAAAATATTTAGTTATATGAAAAGAATCGGAGCAGAAAGTTTGGTGGCTTAAAGGTGCACTAATAAAGACCAGGACACAACCCTGTAATGGATGAATTGGAAAATACCACAAAGAAAACAGAACGGGACCTGCCCAGTTAAGTGTGGCCCAGAGCCTGATTTCCACCTCAGGCCTCTATGTGTGTAGGTGGGGATAGGGGTGGGGAAGCAGGGATTGAGCTGGGGGGCTGAGTCTTGGCTGTAGTGTGAGAAGCCAGTAAGAAGAGAAAGACTGGTTGGAAGGAAGAGAAAAAACATAACTGAACACTCCATCCATCATGGCAGCCCTGAGGAGGATAAGGCCCCCACCTAATATCAGGTGAGTTGTTCCTATAGGCCAGGCACTATGCTTACATTTTTTCTTACTGGATAGCCATAACACTATGATTTTGTGAGTGTCACCTTCATTTGATAGATGGGGTCACTGTCTGATAAATGAGCATCCATCAGAAACAGAAGCAGAGAAAAGTAAGTATTAACATGAACCAGGAAAAGCAGGTATGACAGTTTGAAAGCTTTAGAGAACCTGAGTAAAAGTAGTTGCCCATTATAATAGAATTAAGACTATAGCCATGGAAGTGAGTCAAGGTGATGAATTAAGTGGTATATCAAAAGGAAAAAGAAAAGGAAGTAGAGTAGGCAAAGATTTCTTAATTAAAGCACAGGCAATAATCCCAAAAATATACTAGCAGGATTACATCTAGCTAAAAAGCTTCTTTGCATCTAGGAAAACAACAGTAAGAGTGACAAGGCAACTCTCAGAATAGGAAAAAAATTTGCAAATTATTTCTCAGACAATGGATTGATAGCCAGAACACATGACGTACTCAAGGAGCTTACCCATACAAAAATAAAAAATCTTAGGGACTAGCAGATGGCATAATGGCTTCGTTGCTGGACTCCTATGTAGTTGACTGAAGTTTCAGTCACACCAGGCGCATGTGTGTGCATGTCCAAGATCCCAAGAAGAGATTGGAGAAGGGATTGTGGCATGGCCATCACCCGAGGGGGGTGATTTCTTGCTTTCTGTCTCTCTGTCTCTCTCTCTGTCTGTCTGGTGAGCACACATGCCCTATTTTTTTGTCTGCTTGGGGAGCCACAATGCCCAAAAAAAAAAAAAAAAAAAAAAAAGAAAAAAAAAAACCTCTCAGAAAAAACTTAAAAATGAACCAGTGAACTGAATACACAACTCTCAGAGGAAAACTTATAAATGGCCAAAATGCCCATGAAAAAATGTTCAGCATCTCTTGTCATAAGGGAAATGCACATAAAAGCCACAATGAGACACTATTTAGCCCCAATTAGAATGGCTAGGATAGAAAATATATATAACAAGTGCTAGTAAGGTTGTGGTGAAAAGGCAACACTCTTACACTGTTGGTAGGAATATATGTTAGTACAACTTCTGTGGAGAACAATATGGAGGTTCCTCAAAAACCTAGAACTGCCATGTGACCCAGTAATCCCACTCCTTGGTATTTACACAAAGTATAGAAACACCATCAGTTTAAAAGACACTTGCACATCCATGTTTATTGCAGCATTATTCACAACTGCTAAGATATTAAATCAACCTAAGTGTCAAAAACTGATGATTAGGTTGAAAAACTGTAGCACATATATACTATGGAATATTACTCAGCCATAAGAAACAATGAGACTCTATGTTTGATTCAAAGTGGATGAATAGAAAAGACTTAATATTAAGTGAAGTGAGCCAGATTTTGAAGATGCATACTGTATACCCACATTCAATATGTACCAAATGACTACACTCTATGGTAGAAATGGAAAGATCAAGATATGATAGTAGAGAGGATAAGTGTAGATACCAGAGACTGTAAGGGAGGGGAGTGAGTGGTAGAGAGTGAGTGGTAGGGGCCAGCAGGTGGCATGATTGTTAAGACACTGGACCCCCACGTGGCTGACTACAGTTCAAGTCCTGGACACACTGGCTTGAAACTCATACTGGGCACATATATGTGTGTGCTCAAAATCCTAAGAGGATAATGAAGGAGAAGGGATTGTGGTATTGTCATTCCCCTGGGGAGGTGATTTCTCACTCTGTCTCTCTAGCAAGTGTATGCACCCTATAGCAAAAATCTCTGAAAAAAAGAAAAGAGGGTGGTTGGGAAGTACAAAAGAATATAAAGTTTAGTGTTGAAAATAATATTAGGTAAGTTTTGTTTTATAAAAATTTAAAAAAGGAAAAGGAAGTAGAAATTGAATGTGTCAAGAGGTTGGGGTGGGGGGCAATATTAAAATTTATATTAAAATTGGGAGGGGCCAAAAGATGTGTAGTGGTTACTGTACAGGACTCCCACATGGCCTAACCATGGTTCAAGTCCCAAACCTAATAGCTTTAAATTCACATGTGTGTGCACAAGCCCAAAATCCCAGGAGAATAATGGAGGAGAAAGGATTGTGGCATGGCTATCCCTCCTGGGAGGAAGGGGGGGACTTCTCTCTTTCCCCCTCACTGTCTCTCTCTCTCTCCTTTCCAGTGAGTTCATATGCCCTATGGCAAAAACCTAAAAAGAAATAATAACAAAGTAAAACTGGGAGAAGTGAAATTAATATTGGTTGGATGTTGAGAAGAAAGGGAGAGATCTGGTCAGACATGCTCATCCTAAAAGACAGACAGGGGCCAGGAACAGAAGAAATGGATGACTGCTACCTAGAATAAATATGCCACTGTTCAAATATGCCATAGCCCTGGTTTCTTTGGGTATAGGAATATTTTGTTGCATAGCTGAGTCCCCTCTTTATTTATTTATTTTTTTTAGAGGTTTTTGCTATAGGGCGCATTCACTTGCCAGAAAGAGAGAGAGACAGAAAGTGAGAAATCACCCCCCCCAGAAGGGATGGCCACGCCACAATCCCTTCTCCTCCATTCTTCTCTCGGGATCTTGGGCATGCATGCACACACACCCAGCATGAGTTGAACCCACCAGGTCTGGGACTTGAACCACAGTTGATGACATGGGAGTCCAGCAACATAGCCATTACACCAACTGCTAGTCCCGCTGAGTCTCTTCTTGTGAGGTAAAGGAGACCCAGGCTAGAGAGTCTGGGAAGAAGTCCTGTAGACCCTAGCTCATCTGCTCATGTTTCAGTGCCTAAGTTTCCTTATATGAAATTCGGAGATAGTAAAATCTTCCCTATCTCAGATGAAATTATATATTCGAAAACATTGGGTAAATTTTAAAGCACTACACAAATGTAGCCAATAAGTATTAACCAATACAGCTGTAGATAATTGAGAAATTCCTATTGTATGAAGTACTTATGCATTATTTCTTTAATAGTCCAAGTAACCATATAACATATATATTATTATTATTACTTCTATCTGAAAGATGAAAAAACTAAGCCTTAAATACCTGAGAGCTTAAATCCCTCACCCAAAGTAAACAACCTGGCAGTGGTAAACTCACAGTCTGGAACCAGCTCTGACCTTAGATCCCATACTGTTCTCAAGATCCTAAAAGAATCTCCTATTTCAATCTGATCCTAAGGAGTATGGGAAAAGCAAGAATGCCCTTTCCACTACCATTATCCTGCTGACCACCTCACAGGCTGAAGTTTCCCAAATTCCCTCTTTCTTCCTACCTTGGAAGAGTGGCTGAGTGTTTCGTGAGTCAGGGTTGGCTGAGAAGTTCTGGTTAACAGAGGAGGGGCTCAGGATGGCTTTGCCAACACCACCATCCAACTGCTGCTCCAGCTGCAGCCGCAGACAGTTGTTCACATGAATGCTCTGCTCCAGCTGCCCTCTCAGAGCTCGTATCTCTGCCACCAGGTGGCTCAAGTCACTGCTCAAAGGGACTTGGTGACAGGCATCCAGGCTGTAAGCTGAAAGAAGAGAGAGGAGGTGTCTTGTAGCAATGGCCCAAGTATTTACAAGTCCTTGTCAGCGTAATTCCTTTCTGCCAGCAACTCCACTGTGATTGTAGAGTTTGGGCAACACATCTGTGGTAGAGATGTCATCATTCCTTGCAGGTCCTGGGCACACTGAAATCCAGCCTGGAATTTCTCTGAGGTTAAAATTATTCCTGTGTACCTAGCGGGCATTTGATTGGCAGAGGAGCCTATTATTTCAACTTCATATTGATCTTAGTCCTACAGACTAGAGAGTAAGGGCCTCCGAGGCAGGGAGCCAGCATGGAGGGAGAGAAGGGCAGGAATGACAGAGAAGGAGATGTGAGAAATCCCACACTCGGAAATTAAAGGGGAGGAGGAAGAGGCACACACCAGAAATTTTAGTAGCATGGAAGAATGTGAGGCCTTTAGACTAGGGATCATAATTAAGTGAACTTTTCTACCTCTCCATGTTGTTTACCCCACTCACTATGCATGTTTCTACATTCTGAGATGAAGTGATCTAACAGATACTCTACAAGGCCACAATTACTTATCTGAAAACTTTAGGGAGAATGTATTGCAAAAGGCACAATTTGTTTTGGATTTCAGCAAATCAATACAGTGTGTATATCATACATACCGTATCTTATATGTGCCCAGTTGCATCTAGACCACAGCCCTTACTCAAACACACCATTACCTCTGCGATGAACTATGTGAATATTCCCGTTAAGTAGGTAAAACCATGAATATTCTCTTGTCAATAAAGTTAGGTTTTATCACCAAGTGAGTATACAAAATAACTTTTGGCTTAGAGATCTTATTAAATTTGGGAATTAAGGGTAAGGGATGATGGAACTCTTGTGATGGTAGCTTTTTTTTGGAGACTTTTATTTTTTTTCTGCTATAAGGCACATTTGCTCACCAGAAAGAGAGAGACAAAGTATAAAATCACCCCCCAGGGGGAGGGCCATGCCACAATCCCTTCTCTTCCATTCTCCTCTTGGAATCTTGGGCACGCACGCACACACAACTGGTGTGAGTTTAAGCCACCAGGTTTGGGACTCGAACTGCAGTCAACTACATGGGAGTCCAGCGACATAGCCATTACACCAACTGTTGGTTCCAATGATAGTAGCTTTTAAATGAATCTTAAAAGACCATGAACAGAGAGAAAGGTATGAAAGGTGAGATAATTCAGGATGAAGTGGTTCCAGAGACTAAAATCCAAAGTTTCATGATGCTCCTCCTTCTTTCTCATTCCCTAAATCCAAATCTCACTAAATTTTGTTTTTTTTTTTTTTAGAAAATATTTTTCACCTATTCACCCCTCTTTAACTTTTTAATGGTACCTTATATTAGATCTCAACTCTCAATGCCTGGAATATCCTAGGCCCATCCCAAATGTTTCCTGGATTCTAAGGTCTCCCAATTTTGGTCTGTCCCATCAGACCTAGTATCTTAAAGTTCTATTTTAATCATGTACTGATTTTCCTTGAGGGGGAAAATACATATATTTCTCATCATCTATTACAGTATAGGCTTTCTATAGACTAGTGATCCTGTTTCACTAACCTGATTTCTCATATCCCCAATACCAAACTTCTACACGCAGCTGGTCTTCCTGTGACTCAACACTTTGCATATTTTTTATTATCATAGATGTCCTCTCAGCCTGTTGAGTCCTATATTTATTCATGTTTCTAGTTTACTTTGCCTTGGGCAATTAGAAAACAAAATCAGTTTTATGAAAATTCAAATTTGTCTCAATAGTGAAAATTTGAATCTAAATACTTAATTTAAATTCACCCTTTGTTTGATTTTCTGAGGGAGGAGAATACAAATCACATAAGTTCTTTTTTTTTTCTTTTTCTGGAGAGTTTTTTGCTATAGGGCGTGTGTGCTCACCAGAAAGACAGAGAGACAGAAAGTGAAAAATCACCCCCCAGAGGGAATGGCCACGCCACAATCCCTTCTCCTCCATTCTCCTCTCGGGATCTTGGGCATGCACACACACGCGCCGGTGTGGGTTTAAGCCATGGGTCCACGGGCCACTACATGGGAGTTCAGCGACATAGCCATTATGCCAACTGCTGGTCCCGACCACTGATATTTTTAATAAAGGTCAGAATTTGCATTTTTATCTTTGCTAAATTTTATCCCATTGATGTCAGTCTCTGTTTTAGCTTACTATGATTTATTAACATTATGCTTCAAATACCCTTTATTATTTGGAGAAGAATGAGGAATTAAATCAAGATTCTCAAATATTATATATCAGCAAGTGACAAAAGTCTTCAATAAAAGTATTTAAACATTTAAATTCAGATATGAAATCTAGGTGGTGAAATCTACTAAAAGGTCCATATTTCCTAAATATCTTTTTTGGTTTTGTTTTGTTTTTGTTTTTGTATCTGAATCTACCCACTAAGGGAAAGGGTCAGTGAAGAAGTTTTCTGCTACACTGGCTGCACAGGTTGTCAATATGTATTATTCACCATGTGTGAGACTTTCAAATGATGACACTATTAAAACAGTTCTTTGAATTAAAAATAAATAAATAAAGATGGGGGCTGCCCCTATAGCCTCTTGGTTAAGAAAGTCAGATCCCACATTGCAGACTGGAGTTTGAATCCTGGCCCCTGAATGCTTGTAAAACTTGGTAGGCCTATGCGCCTGCATGTCCGAAATCCTGACAAGATGGAGAAACAGAGCAGAAAGGATTCCAGTGTGACCGTGCCCCACTGGGAAGGGTGGTACTTTTTCTCCCTCTTCTGTCTGTCTTTCTCTGGCAAGCACATGCATCCTCTGGCAATTGAAAATAAATAAATAAATAAAGTATAATCTAGACATGGATTAACTTGTTTGTAGACATTTCACTGGGTGAAGTTTCACTCTTGTGGCCAATTGTGAAAGATGTCCAGGCCAGGCCTTGCTTATGCCACCAACATCTCACCTCTACACTTTGTATATGAGCTCCCCTAGTTACTTCCTGAGAGCTCCAGACCTGGCCAGCAACTTTCAGAGACAGAACACTACAGATTCTCATGATCTCCGTGACTCAAAGGAAAGACCTCATTGCTATCCTAAGCAAGGGCAGGAAGCTCATCAGGTAGAGGAGGTACAGAACACATACCTTTCAGCCCCTTCTTGGAATTGCCATAAAGTGCCTCATAGATCTGTAGCTCTGTCTGCAGGGACTGGAAGAGCTGCTGTTTCTCTTCACATTGTTGCTGCAAGAGGGCCAACTTCTGTTGCAGCCTGCCAAGGGAGAGGCAAGGACTCACTGAGATGGCAAGCCCACGTAAACACACCAGGGAAGCAAGCTGTAAGCCAACTTTTGCATCATTAGCTTCAGGTGTCAACTCAGAGTTCATGAAGACCATCACTTTTATTTTACATGTGGAGACAGAGGCTGGCAGAGGTAAAGTAATTGTGCTTAAGTTATCCTATTAGCCGTGCTAGCTAGGAGCAGAATAGACACAACAGCACCGTTTCCTACAGCTCCTACAGTGCTCTCATGTGGACAGGCTGTTACAGGCTTGGGCTGGAGACAGCATCACAGCTCGTGTAGACGATACCTTGGTTACAGAGAAAATAGTGTCCTATAGCTAATGGGAAGCATAGAAACCTTCTCTTTCTAGTTTCTGCTCTGCCAAAGCCTTCTGTAACAGGATTCCACTCTTTCAACTTTGGAATGAAAAGGCATTCTCAGAGAAATATGCCTTTCTTTTCACAGTCACCCATAAATCAGGAATAGCAGAGGGGAAACAATTCAAAAGATGACCCTGACTGCCTTTTGCTATTATCCCTTTTAATGTGAAAATAGGGCCACCTTCTCTATCAGTGGGTCCCCTTTTACCTGGAGTCTTTTTCCTGGAGGGAGAGACGTTCCTCCCTGAAATGCAAGATCTCCTGCTGTTTCTCCTTCAAGTCTTCCAAAAGCTGCTGCCTTTCTACCTTCTGGTGTTCCAGCTCCTTTTCCAGCTCTTGAAGCCGAGATCGAGAGGAGAGCAGAGCCTCTTTCAGGCATTCTGTTTCCTGGGAGTGCTCTGGTGAGCAGAACACAGGAGTATTTGTATGATGGCACTCAGCAGAAAGATGAGCCCAAGCACATCTGTCCTGACGATCAAAGCTCAGGCAAAGGGAAGGAAGGCCCTGTCTTGGCGGGAAAAGCGAGTGCTGACTCACTCTACCACACACCTTGGGGAATGCTCCATCTCTGACTTTGCAATGATCTTCATTCCACTGGGCCCTGCCCTTGGAGAGCACATTCTGGTTTCTCACACTCATCATTTTCTTACTAACACACCATGTGCTTAATGATCCATTTTTGAATTTTGCCAAAGAGCAACGTTAAGATGTCTTATCTATAGTTTTTAAAATATATGATTTTCACCATTTAAAAAATTAGGACATTTGCTCTTTGGGGGATGGGGGGTGTGGCTTGTTGCATTTCTCTGATCTGCACAAATCAAAGATTTCAACAGGGCCTCTGAGAATGGGGCCATGGGTTCAGTCAGCCTCCTGGGATGGAATTCTTCTGGGCCTGAAAAATAATATTTATGTAAATCTCTTACTATCTTCTCACCTGTGTGGTCTGTTCTATTCATCCCAAGCATGCAGTGGTAGTTTAGTAGATCTGCCTTCTGTCTTATCTATCAACTCTTGTTATCTTCCCCAAGCAGTGACCTTTCAAGTCTTCTTGCTCTGAGGTGGCTAATTTAGAAATATCTCTTGATGTTCTTTTTCCTTTTCCACAAAGCATTCCTTCATTTTGGACTTAATCCTTTGGGGTACTATCCTTAGACATTTTATGGCTGTTCGATAGATATTTGTCAATAAGAATAATTTGTTATTGGTAATACATAGATTTGACCAAGTCAGTTAACACTAAGGTCACCTGCCTCCCAGGCCACATGGGAAATGACACCCACTTATGGATGCCCATTGAATTGGATCTTGAAAGTTCTAGAGGACATTTGCAAGTGCCTCCCGACAGGGAAGTACCCTGAGTCTAAGTGAGAGGATGTGGTAGGAGCTGGAGGGGTAGCAGAGCAGGACCAAAACAGACACAGAGAGGTTTGGTGAAGCCTAAAGAAACTTCAGAGGGAATATTCCTTTTTTTGTAGCTCCCAGTCAGCTATGAGAGGGAGGAAATAGAACAGATAATAAACTGTTTTTCAGTTTGATAACTAGTGGCTCTGCATATATGAGATAGACTTTGAACAGAAGTGATGGTTTGGGGGCTATCAGATGGCATAGCCGTTGCGTCGCTGGACTCCCACATGGTCAGCCGCAGTCTGAGTCCTGGACCCAGAGGCTTAAAGTTCACTCTAGCCATGTGTGTGTGCATGCCTGAAGTTCATGCTGGGCACATGTGTGTGCATGCCTGAGGTCTCAGGAGGAGAATGGAGGAGGGGGAGAAGAGATTGCAGTGTGGCCATCCCCTGAGAAATAATTTCTTACTTTCTCTCTCACTGCCTCTGTCTCCCTCTCCATTCCTTTTCCACAAAGCATTCCTTCATTTTGGACTTAATCCTTTGGGGTACTATCCTTAGACATTTTATGGCTGTTCGATAGATATTTGTCAATAAGAATAATTTGTTATTGGTAATACATAGATTTGACCAAGTCAGTTAACACTAAGGTCACCTGCCTCCCAGGCCACATGGGAAATGACACCCACTTATGGATGCCCATTGAATTGGATCTTGAAAGTTCTAGAGGACATTTGCAAGTGCCTCCCGCCAGGGTAGTACCCTGAGTCTAAGTGAGAGGATGTGGTAGGAGCTGGAGGGGTAGCAGAGCAGGACCAAAACAGACACAGAGAGGTTTGGTGAAGCCTAAAGAAACTTCAGAGGGAATATTCCTTTTTTTGTAGCTCCCAGTCAGCTATGAGAGGGAGGAAATAGAACAGATAATAAACTGTTTTTCAGTTTGATAACTAGTGGCTCTGCATATATGAGATAGACTTTGAACAGAAGTGATGGTTTGGGGGCTATCAGATGGCATAGCCGTTGCGTCGCTGGACTCCCACATGGTCAGCCGCAGTCTGAGTCCTGGACCCAGAGGCTTAAAGTTCACTCTAGCCATGTGTGTGTGCATGCCTGAAGTTCATGCTGGGCACATGTGTGTGCATGCCTGAGGTCTCAGGAGGAGAATGGAGGAGGGGGAGAAGAGATTGCAGTGTGGCCATCCCCTGAGAAATAATTTCTTACTTTCTCTCTCACTGCCTCTGTCTCCCTCTCCAGTGAACACATGTGCCCTAAGGCAAAAATCTCTTAAAAAAAAAAAAAAGCAATGGGTTTCCTGGAATTATTCACTGTAGAGCCTCAGAATTTGATGGTCCTCTTAGGAAGCTGCTGTTTCTAGAATAAAAATGACTATGGGAATATGGGTTTGGTTGGTCATGGTATCTCTTCTATTGCTACTTCTCTTTGCTTCTCCAGTGACCACTGCAGTGACCACAGTTGTGGTTTATGAATACTCACCTCTGGAAATGTGACTCAGCTGAGCCTGAAGACTCCGGTTTTCTTCCCTGAGGACTCTGTTCTCATTGAAGAGCTGAGGTATAGACTCCAGACCCTGACCACAGAAGTTAGAAGTGGATCCTGTCCCAGAAAGTACACATTAGTTAAAAATGCTTTCATAAGCTTTTCATTATATATGTCCCAAAGATGTTGTCCCAACCCAGCAAAAAGCCCAGGAATTCAGGCCTGGGACTGAATAAGCATGATGTGCTGAGCGCCCAGTCTTCACATGCCTCTTCTCAGTGCATTCTTTGCATGCATTATCATGTGCCATGGCTGCAATTGTTCAGGGGACTCTTTCTCCCTAAATAGCTGCTGCTGTGGTGTAAGCAGGACAATGATGTGTAGAAGTGATGGCCTCAAGTGACAGCAGAGTGTGGGGAGAAAGGCCACCTTGGTGAAGGGGCTGGGGGAGAGCCCTTCCAAACTTGCTCCATTTGCCAATCACACCTAACAATGGC